TTGTCGGCATTAAATGACCCATTAAGGTTGATATATCGTAAAACAAAATAAACCCAAATAAACCCATAATACCAATTCCACTAAATTTACCAGTGTAGGTAGTGGAGACATTTTTTTTTAGATAGTATAGTCATTTTGTCTTATTTATATATATATATATATATATATATATATATATATATATATATATATATATATATAACAGGTGCTACAGCAAACTAATTCAAATTCTGTAACACCATAATTATGCTTCTTGCAAAATGTTTAGTTTCTAAAAACCCAAAACAAATTTAGTTTCTATTGAAGAGGTTCAGCTGTTCAGATAAAACGTTTAGCCATCTTGACATAACTTGTAAGAATCACTGCAAATCCCATTGAGCTAAAAAGTGATCAGTTTAAAACTGTTCTGTGTCAGATCCAAAGTCTTAGCAAATGAACAATGGTGAGAGGAAAAAGAGCTGCAGTAATGGTACCACCCTTCATACACTGGCTTCCATCTTTAAAGTTCGTCAAGAACCATCTAGAGAACGATTATTATGTTTAAAAAGAGGGAACAGTAGAGAGGAAAACTGGATGAGGAGGTCACAACAGGAACAGGGATCATCGTTTCAACTTAGAGCTAAAGAGATCAATTAGAAAAGGTCCAACTCAACCCATAAGACGTTTGCCACGGACAGTTCAAAGAGTAGTGAAAAAAGACTTGAAAATGAAATCATATCTGAAACGTCTGAGGCAGCTTGTTATACCAGGAAAGAAATTTAGAAGTTTAGAGAGGGCGAAGATCATCTTAAATCAGTTGGAAAATCATCCTGGAATAATATATATATATATATATATATATATATATATATATATATATATATATATTTTTGAACTTTATATCAATACTTCCTGAGCGTCAGATTCTTAGCTTTGATTAATAAATGATGAACATGCTATTTTTGTTTATGATCGATTTCCTGACGATTCTTCTGTTTAGCTTGGAGAGTAATTATACGTTCTTATTACTCAAAGTAGAGCCCAATAGAATTCCAGTAAGATATCTTTAATCGTGTTTAGATACAACGGTTCCGAAGTTAATCTTGCAATTGGAAAATTTTGCATTTACACGATTTGGACAATTTTGTTGTTACACGAGGTACATCGGAGAAACCTCGTGGAATTTGAATAAAAGATTATATGAACACAAAAAGAATCTTTTACAAAACAACACGTTAAATGCATAAAGAGTATGGTAGAAAATTATAAATTTAGGAAAATTAATGAGTCTGATCATAATTCTGATTTAAAATTGAAGAAGGTCGGAGAGTACAACGGCCGAAGCTTTCTGAACATGGTAATAAAGATGTGGACAACACTCCGAACAATGTAAATAGTGTAGTTACAATACTTCATCTCAGAAATACAGACATATTCTGAAGATGGCCGGATAGTACAAAAACTGAAACGTCGCGAATATGACAATAAAGATGAGGAGAACAGTCCGAACAATGTAAATAGTGTAAATAGTTACAATACCTCATGTCAGAAATATGGATATATCCTGAAGAAGGCAGGAGTGTATAACCACCGAAAGGTCGTGAATATGACAAGAAAGATAGGGACCAAAGTCGGAACAATGTAAATAGTTACAATACTTCATCTCTGAAATATAGAGAGATTATGAAGAAGACTAGAGCATACAAACGCCGAAACGTCTTGAATTTGACAATAAAGATAAGGACAAAAGTCCGAACAATGTAAATAGTATAAATAGTTACAATACCTCATCAACGCGATTCCGGATATCATCAGTTTTTAACTAGGCAATTATGTCGATGAGACAGGTAAAATAAAACTGGCAACTGCTGCAGAAAATGTCCACCAATCAGTGGTTAACTGGGGTAAGGAATGGCTTGTAAATTTAAACACCTCCGAATATAAACCACTTTAATTTAATCCACATAGCAAACATTTTCTGCCTTCCATCATCATGGCTGATGCTAACCTCTGGGAGATCAAATCTTTGCGCCTTCTTGGGCTCAGTTTTTTCTACTGATATGAAGTCGAGTGATTGAATATTGAATCAGTTGCAAGGTCGACTGCTCGGAAAGTTGGTTCCAGACAACTGATCTCGTCAGAATACATCTTGCACAATTATAAATCTACCGTGTTCTTCCCTGCATTGATTTCTGGTGTCATGTCTGGTATGGTACGCCTCCTATATATCACAAGATTCTTGAGAAAGCCCAAACAAAGGTATGTGATGTAATCGATCCTGACCTGATAGCTCGACTCCAGTCACCTTACTGGCCCAAAATGGATAAGGATATCGAAAATTTAGTGAAATAGTGCTCTAGCAGCAAAGTCAAAATTTAACCTTAGCCGAAAACCGATACCCCATGGTCCAGAATAGATTCGCAGGACCGTTAAACGGAGCATACTATCTAGTGGTAGTCGATAGTTACACTAAACGGCCAGAAACATTAAAATGTAGACGGTCGACTACCGCGGTAACGATAAATTTCCTACACGATATTTTTCCAAGGTTCGGTGTTCCTGGCTCTGTCACTTCAGATAACGGGACTCAGTTCACGTCTAGTGAATTTGTTGGGGACGTGCAGGATTGTTAATTATTTAAGAAAGAATCAGAAGAAATTTTCAGTGGTTGTGTGTCTCGCTGCATCCCCAAACATATATATAAACGAACTTTCAAATGCAATTAAAAACGAGACATATGCAATTTAGAAAACAATGCAACATTTATATACAATTTAACAATATACAGATTGGATAATCAATGTGTGTCGTGTGTACAAAATGTGTGTGTAATTGTTTGAATCGTGAATGTCTCTTTGTTGATATTGTTCGTTGGTTCGCTGTCTTTTTGTTTGTGTCAAATATCGTAATTATGAATAATAAGAGATTTTGGAAAGAGTTTTTTAGAGTGGTCTACCCTTAAACGTATTTGATGTTTACTTATCTTTTAGTAGTGAATTCAATTCACTGTACATAAGCAAAGTTGAGAAAAGTGTTCACAGAGTTGATTGATGAATGATCGAATATGAGTCAGCGAAATGTCTTCGTGCGCGGCAAAATTGTGGTTCGTAGTGGCGTGGAGTATATTGGAAATTACTCTGCGAATTCGTGAGACTGACTGGCGTGGAGTTGGTAATTGTCTTTAACGTCTGGTCAGCAATGACGAAGACGGGAATGTTACATCTTGAAACTTGGTAATTACTGCTGCTATTGTCTCTTAAGGTTCAAACGTTCTCTGTTTATATATCCACCGGGTGGCTCCCTTGAATTTGGCGCAATTTCAGTTTTGCACGTGAACTTCAAGTGATTGACCAATGGGGTTGTTTGCTTCGTTTCTTGCCGTTTTTATTGGTCGAAGTTTTCTAGGTACGTAGGGTTGAAAAGGTAAGGATAATGGATGAGTCCACAAATTTAAGATTTTTGCAAATTATTCGCAATAGAACATATTACAACCCCCTCCCTTACCAGCCAGGATCAAACGGACAAGCGGAACGATTTGTCAATACGTTTAAAAGGGCAATAAAAAGACAGAGGGAGAGGAGTCAAATGACGTAATGATTCAGCAAGTTCTGTGTGTTTACAGAATAACGTCAAACCTGAATACCGTGTCTGAAGTGTCGCCTGCAGAGTTGATGTTCGCCAGGAAGACTAAGTCCGTTTTCAATTTAGTTCTTACCGAAACACAAGGTGATACCATCAAGAAATAACAATATAAGTAGATACTTCAAATCTGGAAATAAGGTATTTTTTAAAGATCTATCAACACGGAAAGGAATTCTGGGAAGATGGCGTTATAAAAAAAAACGGTCGGCAAAATGGCGTACATAGTACAGGGAGAAAGGTGGGAACATAAGCGACACCTTAATCAGTTAAAACGCAGATTCACTGATTTAAAATGTTACCGAAAAGAGGTACCAATGGAAATACTGTATGACATGTTTAACGTACCCACGCCATCAGAAATTGTTGAGTCAATAGATTATGGCAAAAGAAAAAGAATGCTAATAGAATTTCTAACTATTGAACCAAATCTGAAGAAGTATATGCTCCAAGGGAAGTCATCCCAATGGGGAGGTGTTATATAAGAGTAAAGTGTCACCAGAGTGCTAACACAGGCGATCTCATTTTGAATAAGTCGTGATGGCAGAGGAAATGTATATATGGGAATTAGCGTGGCGTCTAAGTGATCATTATA